TTTAAACAACTTCTTCTGAATAACTGAGACGGCTAGGGTGATGATATTTGGCCAGTAACATGCTGGGATGAAGGGCTACCAATTTTGTTTAAATAAATGACCTTGACTGATATTCAAGGTCACAGCTGGGGTCAAATATGTTTAAAACCTTTAAACAATTTCTTATGAGTAAGTTAAGCCAAAGGCCTAGGGTCCTTAAATTTTGCCAGTAACAGGCTCGAATGAAGGGCTACCAAGTTTGTTTAAATAAATGACCTTGACATATATTCAAGGTCACAGGGGTCAAATATGTTTAAATCTTTAAATGATTTGTTCTGTATAACCAAAAGCTCCAGGGTATGATATTTTGCTAGAAGCATGCTGGGTTGGAAGACTATACACTCTGTTCAACCTAATGTCTTTGTTCGACATTCAAGGTCACAGGGTTCAACTGTTTAAATCTTTTCATAGGTTCTTATGAATCAAACACTGATATTCTGCCTGTAGTTGTATTTTAGTCCACTTTTAAGATTACAAGTGTGAGATTAATACCAGGTGAGCGATTCAGGCCCGTTGGGCCTCTTGTATTAGCTCACCTGGCCCGAAGTCCGTCCGGCGTCAATGTTTTGTTTTATACAACTTCTTCTGAATAACCAAAAGGCCTAGGGTGATGATATTTGGCCAGAAGCAAACTGGGATGAAGGGCTACAAAGTTTGTAAAAAATTAATGACTTTCACCCATTTTCAAGGTTACAAAGGTCAAATATGTTAAAAACTTTAATCAACTTCTTCTGAATAACCAAAATGCCCAGAAAGATGATATTTGGCCAGCTGCATGCTTGGGTGAAGGGCTACCAAGTTTGTTCAAATGAATGACCTTCAATTATATTCAAGGTCACAGGGGTCAATTATCTTAAAAAATGTTTAAACAACTTCTCCTGAATAACCAAAATGCCCATGGTGATGATATTTGGCCAGTAGCATGCTGAGATGAAGGTCTACAAAGTTTGTTCTAATGAATGACCTTCACCCATATTCAAGGTCACAGGGGTCAAATATGATAAAAACTTTAAACAACTTCTTCTCAATAACCAAAATGACCAGGGTGATGATAATTGGCCAGTAGTATGCTGAGATGAAGGGCTACAAAGTTTGTTCAATTGAATGACCTTTACGCATATTCAAGGTCACAGGGGTCAAATATTTAAAAAAAAAAAATAAACAACTTCTTCTGAATAACCAAATTGCCCAGGGAGATGATATTTGGCCAGTAGCATGCTGAGATGAAGGGTTACCAAGTTTGTTCAAATGAATGACCTTCACCCATATTTAAGGTCACAGGGGTCAAATATGTTAAAAACATTAAACAACTTCTTCTTAATAACCAAAATGCCAAGGGTGATGATATTTGGCCAGGTGCATGCTAGTGTAAAGGGTTACCAAGTTTGTTCAAATGAAATACCTATCACCCATATTCAAGGTCACAGGGGTCAGTTGTAAAAAAGACCTTTAGGCCCAGGATGTTGATATTTAGTCAGTAGCATGCTGGGATCAAGGACTACCATGTTTGTTAAAGTGAATGACTTTGACTTATATTCAAGGTCACAGTGGTCAAATTTGTTTAAAACCTTTAAACTTCCTCTTCTGAATAACCATGGGTCCCGAAATGTTGATATTTTGCAAGTTGCATCCTGAGATGAAAAGCTATACAATTTGTTAAACATAATGACCTTGTTCGACTTTCAATCACATGGGTGAAATGTTTTAAAAAAAAAATAACAGGTTCTTTTGAAGGAATTTTAATCATAAATACTGATATTTTGTCTGTAGCTTTATTTTAGATCACTTTTAAGGTTACAACTTTCAATCACATGGGTGAAATGTTTTAAAAAGAAATAACAGGTTCTTTTGAATGAATTTTAATCATAAATACTGATATTTTGCCTGTAGCTTTATTTTAGATCACTTTTAAGGTTACAACTTTCAATCACATGGGTGAAATGTTTTTAAAAAAAATAACAGGTTCTTTTGAATGAATTTTAATCATAAATACTGATATTTTGCCTGTAGCTTTATTATAGATCACTTTTAAGGTTACAATTAGTGTGAGATTTATACCAGGTGAGCGATGCAGGCCCATTTGGCCTCTTGTTATGGTCACTTTAGAAATTGTCCTAAACTTATCACAAAAATTATCAAAAATTTAATTAATATATGTAATTACCTGATATAACAGGGTGTATGCTGGCAAACTTGGATCTGGTGTTGTGCAGGGTATACTGGATCTTCTGTGGATACAGCTGACCAGTTTGGTCACCTGCAGTGACCACTCCTTTCAGCCTCAGCAGGACCCAGCATCATCAGATATAGGACTGGGTATGGTCATTAATGTAAAAAAGGACATTCTCATGAATGCATAATTTTCTGTAGATTAGTATTACAATAAAATATGTCAATTTTATTTTAACTTACATTGATTGGGAATGAAGAATTCAATGTGATGAAAATGTTAAACACAATCTTTGGTTGCCTGAGAACAATGTTGTCATTGTGTGATAGCTGATTATAATGTTGTGTGCAGGGATGACATACAAGGTCAAATCACAGCTCCAGCTCGCCAACTTCCTGCTGTTTCTTAGACGAGTAGCCTCCACAAAGACAATATTGAAACTTTTCTCTGCCAAACGATGGGTTTCCATGTTCCTTAACCTTGCCAAACAAAAACAGGGGTCAAGTTCAGGTAAGAATTTTCACCTTTATTCCTGTGGGTAATGTTTGTAACACAAAATTGATGATGAATATCCTGTTTATCTCATCGTGTGGTGCCACATCTTTCACTGTTTCAGCTTCAGTATTTTCTTTAAAACTTTAAAAGCCTATCTATATAAGGTGTAGAGTAATGAAATTGAGTCTATCTATATATATTTGTCTATACCCTCTTCGATGGTCACAGATGTTTGTCCATTAGAACTGATCATTGAGCTTTTTGTACATGATAATGAAGAGGATTGTTACTATGTGAGTGATGGTAAATTATGTTTTTAGGCCAAGACATGGGGTACAGTCTACGGACCAGACTCATTGCTCTCAACCTCCTTGAGTCCATCCTCCTGTCATGTGATGAGAGCAATGATAATGATGATTGTAAACAGGTAAAGTTGAGTCTTTTCTTTATTACATACCCTTCTTAGGGCCCAGCATAGATGATGCAGAACCCTTTAGTAATAAGGTCTGCCCTTCCACAGTTTGTTTGCAGAGATTATCTCAGAATCCAAAAGTCTAATCTTTCTGAAATTTGACATGGTGATACAACATGAAATGTAGATGTGCAATAGGGGTTTAAACAATTACTTAGGTCAGGGTAAAGGTCATTGTTTTTAATTTCAAAAGTTTTTATTGATTTTTTTTCACATATCAATAATAATAATAATAAAAATATACAACATTTGATATAGCGCCCTATCTAGCTAGAATAATTTAAGCCACTCTAAAGCGCTTTACAGTACATAGATATACAGGAATAAGCAAGAGCTGCCTTATCAGGCGCTAACTACAAGTCCTATGCCACCTGGCTAATATCTCCATATGTGTGTATATGCCTGTGTGTGTGCTGGAGATGTATTGTGTTCTGTTCAAAGACATCACAAAACATTATGCAAATGTACAACATGCACAATACACATCCCAATATCAAATTATCACATCACCTATTCTCATTAGTTAGGAAAGTATACCTCACTGGTTAGGAATTTACCAATGGGATATGTATCCCTTGTGATCAAAACTGAAGTAAACCTCTATCTTTCCAAAAACTCCTGAACTCCTTTATCTGTTTGACCATAAATAATCCTCTCTGCCTTATAGTATTCCAAAATCTGATCTTTAAATAATGTCAAGATCAAAAATCTGCTCTTGAATTTTGATGAATATATATGCCTCTTTATCAAAAGGATCATGATATTTGAAACAGAGTTTCCCTGAACGTTGCCAAAATTATATTTTCAAAGTCTACTTCTTCTAGAAAATATGGGATCAACCATTCAAAAATTTAGTAACTACCATACATTCTGAAAACAGATGTTCATACGTTTCCTGTTGAACACGAAAGAAACTACAATTTGGAGACTCAACCTGTCTCATCTTGTGTGAAAACGAATTGGTTGGCAATATTCTGTGAATTAGTCTTTATTGAAACCATCTCAGACTGATGTCGTTAGTGACTCTCGGGATAAAAGAAAAACCTTTATTTAAGGGTGTGCCTCCACTGGGGACAGAGTTGTGGGATCCAATAGGGGAAACTGGGGGAAAACCTTTATTTAAGGGTGTGTGCCTCCACTGGGGACAGAGTTGTGGGATCCAATAGGGGAAACAGGGGGAAAACCTTTATTTAAGGGTGTCCCTCCACTGGGGACAGAGTTGTGGGATCCAATAGGGGAAACAGGGGGAAAATCTTTATTTAAGGGTGTCCCTCCACTGGGGACAGAGTTGTGGGATCCAATAGGGATAACAGGGGGAAAATCTTTATTTAAGGGTGTCCCTCCACTGGGGACAGAGTTGTGGGATCCAATAGGGGAAACAGGGGGAAAATCTTTATTTAAGGGTGTTCCTCCACTGGGGACAGAGTTGTGGGATCAAATAGGGGAAACAGGGGAAAATCTTTTAAAATTCTTCTTCTCCCATACCAATGCAGAGATTTTAACTGAATCTGGTATCGAGTATCTGTGAGCAAAGGGAACTGTATTTGTTTAAATGGAGTTTGTGGCCCGCATTGCGGCAGAGGCCCGATAATATTTTTGTGGGATGCCACTGGACTAATTTTTTGTTGTGTGGAGAGAATATATGAATAATTCTGCTGAGAATTTGGGAAGTGAGTCTATCAGTGATTTAAAAGTTTATTTAGTAATTTGCAAATGAAAAATAAAAGTGATGTTATTTGTAGATTGTGGAGGAACTATTCCAGAGCCTGGCATTAAACATGTGGGACATCCCACAGTGTAAGGCACTCCAGGACGCCAGCCAGAAGAAAGAAAGTCTTCTGCAGAAACTCACAGACTGTGAAAGGAACTCACTCGACCAGAATCTTGAGGAAGACTCGGACCATGCTACTATACAGGCTGCAAGTTTTGACTGTGAAAAAAGTCTCAATTGTACTGTGGAGAACTTGCAGACCTTGGTTCACAGTGGAGCAGGCAAGGGATATGGTCTGGGGGTCACCCCTATGACCTCGGGCTGTTATAAGTGGAAGGTAGGTCTGCATTCGATCTGTGTAGCATTGATGGAAATAAGGATAGTTCTACCATATTAGCAACAAGATGCCTAAAGTGCAAGTATCGCTCACATGGATATCTGAGCAATCATGGTGAAATATTCTCATTAAAGGATATACTGCTAACGAGTATGCTACTTGCTAACGAGCATGCTACTTGCCGAAAATATTTACCCCAGACCAAACTCTTTAAAGGTTTGACCATTGTGACCTTGAAAGAACATAATGGTTATAATTTATGGAAGCTTTATAGTAATCCATCTGAGCAGGTTACTTACAAAATATTATTTCCCTGTGCATCTAGGTTAAATTTAACCCACTGTGTATTTGAAAAGAGATCAAGGTCATTTATTTTTATTATCATCCCAGTATTCTGGTGAGATGTTGTTACCTGGGGTCTCATGGCCATTCAGAAGCTGTTTTATTAAGGTTTTTACATATTTGACCCCTGTGAGCTTGAAAATAGGTCAAGGTCATTTATTTTAGGAAACATTTAAGCACTTTTATCTTTTTCTGGTGGAATGTTTTTACCTAGGATATCATGGTCATTCAGAAGATGAAGTTTAAAGTTTTTTGTTAGGTAGCAGAATACAGTAGAAATGGCCTGACTCTGATAAACAAGGCACATGTCGAGGAAATGTAAACACAGCGGATTTACCCTACACAACACATGTATACATGTATATATATTTGTAAACTGCATTACATTTTCAATACATATAAAGCACTGAGAAGTGTATAAACCTCTTTTTTCTATGTATGTCACTTGTGTGAAAACCATGGTTACCACATCAAAAATTACCAAAAAATGCCAAAAAATGCTATTTTTAACCCAAAATTTGACCCCCGCAAGTAGTAATTTTTTTCCTAAGCTCTGTCTGAAATTATTGATTACCTACCTGGTTGCAGAATTATCTGGGTCGCAGTGAAATTGTAAAACTTGATTTTTTGCAATTTTGCGTCGTGTGCTGTTGTCAAAATTTTACCTCCTGTAAAGCTAGCTTTTCATGTGTACGCACCCTTTCGTATTATGGCCAAAATTTTATTCTCGAACCAAAGAAATCTTTCTTTTTTACAAATGTGAAGCTCACATAGCCCACTTCATCATGCTTATACCAATTTTAGTACAGTTTTATTTTTATGATATTTTTACATATCATTATACAGGGGTTAGCCATTTAACAAAAATATCACCCATGGCCACAACCCTCTACTGTACACTGCTACCTTAGCCCACCTGCCCAAAGCACGAGTCATGAGCTTATGCCGAGGTGTCCTTTTGTCCGTTAGTCAACTTTGAAAAATGCTACTGGTCCTTGACAACTCAGTGGATTTAGACTAAATTTGGCTCGGAGTGTTTTGGGCATTGGGGACTCAATTTTGTTTAAACAATTTCATCAGATGATTTTTTTTAAATTTTACCTAATTGCATTCAATAACTTCACATGCACTATCACATATCAACAAATCAACACATGTAAAAAATATATCACAGGCCGCATAGTTCATGTACTGTACAAAATGGCATTGGATATGAATCATATCAGTCTCATTTCTCTGGGCCGAAGGTGTTCTAGAGCATCTTTTTTGGTCTCAATTTTGTATAAAGCAAGGATGTGGCCCCCCTGGGGCAGAGGGGTTGGACCCAAAAAGGGAAATAGAGGAAAATGTTTCTCCTTCTGTACAAGTTAAGGGATTTAAACCAAATGTGGTCCAAAGAATGCTTAGGGATAAAAGAACTCAATTTTGTATGAACTGAGGCTGTGCCCCAATTTAGGGCAGAGGACTATGGGATGATGGGTCCAATAGGGGGAATGGAGGTAAATGATGAAATCTTGCTCCTTTTGTACCAATGAAGGGATTTCAACCAAACCGGAGCTGTTCTATAGTCGTTAGACAAAAAGGATCTGTTTGACGGCAGATGTGCCCCAAACTTGAGCATTTTTGGGCAAAGAGTATTCAGTTTTGTTTAAACAGAATATGTGGCCCCCTGGGTCAGAGTGACAGGGCCCAATACTGTTGATAAAGGAAACTATTTTAAAATCTTTCTCCTTCGATACAAATAGAGGGATTTTAGCCAATTTTGGTCTAGAAAAAAATCAGGCAAAAACATGTAAATTTTGTATTAATGGAGGGTGTGACCCAAGGTCCAGTCCAACTCCTGGAGACTATGTAATACCTTTCTGGGTCATGGAAACAAATGAGATCCCAATGCAATAAATGTTTACAAAATTGCTGGACATGAAGAATACACTCATGTTCTTAGTGTCTGGTATGGTACACAGCAGATTTTGAATTGAAAATACCAGGTGAGCTATTAAGGCCCCTGGACCTCTTGTTAAGATAAATTACTGATTTATCATGTGTAATTATTTACAGGTGCTCATAGTGAAAGAGTGCAAGAGCAATGAAGGTACTTGTGTGGGCGTGGCCAGGTGGCCAGTGAGTGACTACACGCACAGGAACTCTTCAGACATGTGGCTGTACCGCGCCTACAGTGGCAATCTGTACCACGGCGGCGAGACCTCCCAAACACTACCACCCTTCACACAGGGAGATTACATCACGGTTTTCCTTGACATGGACGCTCGTACACTCTCTTTTGGTAAAAATGGAGAGGTAATATACAGACTATTTGACAATTTTTAACATTTTTAGGTCACACCCCCCGTGACTCATTGCGATTGCCCTTTAGCCAGTGTCATGTGTCTGTTAACAATTTATAATTTTGAAATCTTCTCCATAATCACCAAATTCAAGAAAATTCTGCAGGAAAATTCCATGGTGAAGGCAAAGTAAATCATCACCTTTTTTGACACAAAAACTTAGTTTTCAGCATCTATATAATCTTGGGTTTGGTGAACTCTGACCTTGCTAATTTCAATGCGATTTGAGCTAACTGTATATAGTCATCAAGTAAAATTTGAACAAAACATGATGTTGATTTTGTGACAGGAGCGAGACAGGCCCAGTTTTGTTTCATTTCATTCCACGTGAATGTATAGGGACACCATTGTGAAGCCTGTCCATTCAGGATAAAATATAGAGAAAAGAAACACATGTGTGCCACTAGTCCTCTAGTGTCGTGGGCACTTTGATTACTTATAGGCATAGGAAATTTGCATTCAGAATATTGCTCTCAATAGTATAGTGTATAAGGGTACTGGCTGTGTAGGGAACACTGCAACAATGTTAGCTTTGTAATATTACCGCGGTGAACAAGTGGAACACGCTGTGGTCATCAGTGAACCACGTGTCAATCCTGTGGTCATCAGTGAACCACGTGTCAATCCTGTGGTCATCAGTGAACCACGTGTCAATCCTGTGGTCATCAGTGAACCACGTGTCAATCCTGTGGTCATCAGTGAACCACGTGTCAATCCTGTGGTCATCAGTGAACCACGTGTCAATCCTGTGGTCATCAGTGAACCACGTGTCAATCCTGTGGTCATCAGTGAACCACGTGTCAATCCTGTGGTCATCAGTGAACCACGTGTCAATCCTGTGGTCATCAGTGAACCACGTGTCAATCCTGTGGTCATCAGTGAACCACGTGTCAATCCTGTGGTCATCAGTGAACCACGTGTCAATGCTGTGGTCATCAGTGAACCACGTGTCAATCCTGTGGTCATCAGTGAACCTCGTGTCAATCCTGTGGTCATCAATGAACCACGTGTCAATCCTGTGGTCATCAGTGAACCACGTGTCAATCCTGTCAAGTCGGTGTATCATATTTGTTTGTCTGTTGAAATTACGTGATGGGTTAAATCTACGACTGGATTGTCCTCGCACATTTGCTGCTAAAATTGTAGTAGCTTTCTCTAAAATATTCAAAGAATGGGGTGAAAAACCTGACGTGTTCTTTTGTAATGTTCTATAAAGTCTTGCCACCTCGGGATTAAACTGACCTTGATCGAGAAGAGACGATAACTCCTCCTGGAGGTAGCGTATTTCCGCGACTCGGTGTGCCAGATATCTAATAAAGTCACTTACTTGATTCTCGTTGCCTTTGATTGTCACTAATAACTTCAGTGAAGTCTCAGTAAAATGTCCACACTTCTGAATCACGTTTGCAAACGGTTGGTCATTCCTCTTTATACCACGTGTTGAATCTGACAAACATAGATCTGGCGATAATTTTATCTTGGACACAGAGTCTCTGATACTGGAAAACACACCCTATATATTATCGGAAGTACCTATTGTAAGACCGATCGCCTCTGGTCTGACCTTCTGGTCCTGTGGTTGGCCGCCCAAGTCGCCATTTTGAGTGCTAGTATCTCCACGTAGATGTTAGACTGTGAAAATTCACATGAACTCAAATGTTCATCTCTTTTCTCTTCTTGTGACCTTCTAAGGAATTAACCCTTGACGTGATGTCGTCCAGACTGGCCTGGATAGCGTCCAATTTAGCTAAACCTGGGTCTTCCACTGACATAGTCGTAAGACTCTCCTGACGGGTGCAGCGTCAAGGAGAACTGATGCCCTAGTGGTGTAGCGCCACCTGGTGCATACGTAGTAACTTGTAGTTATTCCCCCTGACTACGCTCTCTCCTTAAACTGTCCGATTTACAAACCTTGATGTGAAAATGGATTAGTACACTTGTTCACAATATAATATATGACATTTGAGGTTTTAGCTTCACAGATGTAAAATGTGTTCATGAACAGCACTGGATAACACATGAGCAATAAAGATTCAATAGACCTCTTTTCTATCATGTAATCTCAAAGTTTGCATAACAATTGAAGAAAAGGGAAATTTATGCATAAGACTTAAAATTTTCTTTTGAATTATTTTTCAGGACGTGAAGCTTGCATTTGAAGACATTGAGGCATCCGAGCTGTATCCATGTGTTATGTTCTATAGCAACAATCCAACAGAGAAAGTCAAGATGACTGACATGCAGCTTTGTGAAAGCACAACCGACCTGTTGCCAGGGGACCCCTTGTGTTCTCCAGAATCTGTTGTCATGGTAGAGGCCAATGTGAAACTCCTGCGGACCCTCCACAGAACATCAACATGGAACAGTCACATCAACAGGAAGATTCTCCAACAGCTCAACATTGTGACAGGGCTGGGGAAATCAGAAACTGGCACAGACGATGGTAATTACATACACCAGAACCTGTCTAGTCTGGAAATTCTTAAAGAATATGTATAAGTTTTATATTGCAAAATAGTGTCATACTGTCTAAATCTGTTAAAAATGTTCTCTCACCAACTTATAGTTCACAATAGACAATTGTTTCATTGGTACTGGGGGAACAGTCAAATCATTGACCCGAGGTAGCAGGGAAGACCTAGGGAACTGTTGCCCATGGCCGAAGTCTGAGGGCAACAGTTCCCTAGATCTTCCCTGCTAACGAGGGTCAAGGATTTGGTTGTTCCCCCAGTACCAATGAAACAAATGGTTTATTACCTGACTCTCTATTTAAGAAATTTCCTGAATTGTGCGAGTTAAGATAAATGACTGTATGAAAGGATTGAAGATTTCATTCTACGTAAAATCTACACAAAATCTCGTTCAGTTCTTCATTACTGCAGGTTTCGTCGATCATAACACCTTTCTCTGCACAATATTTATCCAAAATATTCACAGCTTCCTTAATGACGTTTTTTGTACTAAGAGAGTCACTATTTTTCATAAGCAATTCCAAATCTTGCTCAGAAACATCCTCAAATTTGGCATTATTCGCCATTTTCACCAGACAACAACAAACAAATCTGTATCCAAAAGACGCTTGAGTGGGGCCGCCGACGGGGAAATTGTCTGCGCACGATTGTCGCGCATGCAACAGTTAGTGTGCAACAGTCGACTGTTGCCCCCTGACATTATTGGTTTTCAGTCTTTTCTAGGGATTTTTTTATTAAAAGAATCAAAAATACTTCATATACACTTAAATAGAGAGTCAGGTAATAACATTAGCTGTTACTTTTCCATTTATTATGCTCCCCGATAATTTTCGGGGGGGAGCATATAGTTGCCGCTTGGCCGTCCGTCCTTCCATTCGTCTGTCCCTTTCATGTCATGAGCATAACTTTACCCACATTAAGGCTAGGATCATGAAGCTTGGTGTGCATCACTCATACTAAGACGATGTGCACTGTGCCAGATTTAGGGCCCACAACCCCTTATTTACAGAGTTATTGCCCTTTCCTAAAAGGTCGTGTCGGGAGCATAACTTTGCCCGCATTTAAGATAGGATCATGAAACTTTCACTTGGTATGTACATAAGTCATACTAAGGCAATGTGCACGGTACCAAATTCAGGGCCCACAACCCCTTAATTACAGAGTTGTTGCCCTTTCCTAAAATGTCTTGTCCGGAGCACAACATTGCCTGCAGTTAAGCTAGAATCGTGGAACTTGGTGTGTATTTCAGTCACACTAAGGTGATGTGCACTGTACCATATTCAGGGTCTGAAGCCCTTAATAATAGAGTTATTGCCCTTTGCTAAAATATCAGACACATGTACACATGTATGTATGTTAAAACATTATTTTTCTTCTCCCAAACTCCCCATTTCAACATATTTTTACCAATATGTGTCATAAATCTAACCAAATGCTTCAATTTCACAAACAGGAAAAGCCTCCAATAAATTTTGTTTTTGGGGAGCATACATCAGTTCCACTGATACTCTTGTTGATATTATCCATTGTGTGGAAAAGTTAGATACCTGTAATATACAGTATGCAAATGAAAGAAGATTATCATTGTAGTTGCTTTAAAATAATATATTTCAGCTGATAGTTGCAAGGAGAAACAAGATGAAGAAAAATCAGAAAGTCCGAACACAAAGAAAAACTTTGAAGAAAAGAAGGAAGACAAATCAGAAAAAGAAGATGACAAAGATGATGTCAAGGATAATACCGACAACTCAAAAAGAACAGCAACCCTGGATTTAATAGACATGGACACACTTCAGTTGTTGTGTCATGAGGTTAGTGATTTGATAGACATGGACACACTACAGTTGTTGTGCCATGAGGTTAGTGATTTGATAGACATGGACACACTACAGTTGTGTCCTGAGGTTAGTAATTTTAAATTTAAGAAAATATAGATAGAAAGATTAGCTTATATATGCAGCTAGAATATAGAATATACTCAATATTCAAGTTTATATGTTTAAACAAAAAACCGTATATATTGTTAAGCCATTTCTCAATTTATACCAACCACGATTGTCATCACACAACATTCGTCTGTTGTCCACACAAATGTGTGCAAGCAGTAATTGTCCAGATTTTAATCATTCACGCATCGCACACACCGCACCTTGTGTAACGTTGTGCGATCCCACAACTGCTACAAGAGAAATAAACAGGTTGACTGTTTCTTGTGTTTATATATAGTTGTATTCAAAACCACATCTAAAATGCAATGTTTTCCCCAACAATTGAAATCCTTTCATTTGTCAACTTCTTAATTGACATTTGAGCCAGTGTATGTGACAGTACTTCTCCACACAACCTGTTAATCAAATGTGATAGTTTCGTTTAACTTTCGACATAGGTGTGGCCAAGCCTTGTCCTGATAGGTGGTCTTGACCCAGGGCTTCATGTTGGGGGTCGCTGCATTCACAAGACAACCTTCAAGACGGGGACATTGATGGGTGTAGCCAGGGATGGAGCAAACACAGCAAAGGTCCAATGGGATGATGGGGACACCTCTCCAAGGTCAGTTAACTTGTATGCTGAAGATTAGCTTGCAGATTGTCCACTTCCTGTTTGACTATAAATTATGTATTTGGCCATTCATACGTTTCCTATATTTTGCTAAAATTCTTATGAATTCCTATATTTAAAAAACTCAGCAATCATATTGTTTAGAATTTGTTAATTGATAGTACCCTAACCATACAAGATGGAATTCTATGTACTTGAGTGTGTCCAATATAAATAGGTAGGTTGTATAAGTTAAATCAATAATAACTATGCCAGAATAACAGCTATGTGATGTACATTAATTGGTCAATAATATATATTTTTAGCTCACCTGGCCCAGAGGGCCAAGTGAGCTTTTGCCGTGGTGCGGCGTCCGTCGTCAACTTTTTACTTTAAACAACTTCTTCTGCCAGGATGCCTAGGGTGATGGTATTTGGCCAGTAGCATGCTGGATGAAGGGCTACCAAATTTATTCAAATCAATGACATTGACATATATATTCAAGGTCACAGGAGTCAATTATCTTAAATAACTTTCAAACAAATTCTTACAAAGATCCAAAAGGCCCCGGCTGATTTTATTTAGCCAGTTATATGTTGGAATGAAGTGCTACCAAGTTTGTTAAAATTAAAGACATTGACTTATATTCAAGGTCAAAGGGGTCAAATATGTAAAGAACCTATTAACAACTTCTTTTGAATAACCAAAAGGCCCAGGATGATGATATTTGGCCAATAACATGCTGACATGAAGGGCTACCAAACTTGTTCAAATGTATAACATTGACAGATATTTAAGGTCACAGGGGTCAATTATCTTAAAAAACTTTCAAACAAATTCTTTTAAAGAACCAAAAGGCCTAGGCTTATGTTATTGGGCAAGTTGGGAGTAAGGGCTACCAAGTTTGTTCAAATGAATGACCTTGACTTTTATTCAAGGTCAAAGGGGTCAAATATGTTGAAAACCTAAAAATGACATCTTCTGAATAATCATAAAGCCCAGAATATTGGTATTTGGCTAATAGTATGCTTGGATGTAGGGCTACAAAGTCTTCAAAACGAATTACCCTGACCTATATTCAAGGTCACAGGGGTCAAATATGATTTAAATCTTTGAAAGTCTTCTTCTGAATAACCAATGTTAAAGGGAATGTTAATATTTGGCCAGCAACATCTTAGATGAAGGGCTTTCAAGTTTTTTCAGTGGAAACCTTGACCCACTTTCATGGTCACATTTGGTCAAATGTATATACACCTTTAAATGACCTAAATTCAATATACAAAATGTCTTGGTTGGTCATATTTGGCAAGCTGCATGCTGAGATGAAGGGCTATAAAGTTTGTTCAACGGAATGACCTCGTTTGACTTACAAAGTTTGGGGGGTCAAGTGTGTTTAAATCTTTCAACAGGTTCTTTTGAATGATTTATAGTCATAAATACTAATGTTTTGCATGTAGCTTTATTTTAGTCCACTTTTAAGGTTATAAGTTTTTATAAGAGATTAATACCAGGTGAGCAATGCATGCCCATTGGCCTCTTGTTATTATTTGATCTAGTGTTATTAGAAAATATTTTTATCTGTCAGTACATTTTTGAAGTCTCAGTTGACCTATTGCAAATTGCCGTTTGTCCGTTATCATGTATCGTCCTTCTATAAGCAAAATTCAACTTCTTCAAAACCACAACCACAACATTTTGGATTGTTGGAAAACAAAATTTGAATACTGAAATTACATCACTATTGATTGATTTGGCTGACTGTGTCTTTGTTGACGGTGATGAATTTGTACCCTTATTTGTTGACAGTGATGAATTTGTACCCTATTTTGTTGACAGTGATGAATCTGTACCCTTTGTTAACAGTGATGAATCTGTTCCCTTCTTTGTTGACAGTGATGAATCTGTAGCCTTCTTTGTTGACAGTGATGAATTTGTACCCTATTTTGTTGACAGTTATGAATCTGTACCCTTTGTTAACAGTGACGAATCTGTTCCCTTCTTTGTTGACAGTGATGAATCTTTACCCTTCTTTGTTGACAGTGATGAATCTTTTCCCTTCTTTGTTGACAGTGATGAATCTTTTCCCTTCTTTGTTGACAGTGATGAATCTTTACCCTTCTTTGTTGACAGTGATGAATATGTACCCTTCTTTGTTGACAGTGATGAATCTGTTCCCTTCGTTGTTGACAGTGATGAATTTGTTCCCTTCTTTGTTGACAGGGATGAATTTGTTCCCTTCTTTGTTGACAGTGATGAATCTGTAGCCTTCTTTGTTGACAGTGATGAATTTGTACCCTTCTTTGTTGACAGTGATGAATCTGTAGCCTTCTTTGTTGACAGTGATGAATTTGTACCCTATTTTGTTGACAGTTATGAATCTGTACCCTTTGTTAACAGTGACGAATCTGTTCCCTTCTTTGTTGACAGTGATGAATCTGTAGCCTTCTTTGTTGACAGTGATGAATTTGTACCCTTCTTTGTTGACAGTGATGAATCTGTAGCCTTCTTTGTTGACAGTGATGAATTTGTACCCTATTTTGTTGACAGTGATGAATCTGTACCCTGCTTTGTTGACAGTGATGAATTTGTTCCCTTCTTTGTTGACAGTGATGCCCTGCTATCAAAACTAGACCCTAAGGATCCACTTTCCTTTGATGCCGACCAGCTCACTGGGATGACCACAGTCCATCTAGAAGCCCTCGTTAAACTCTCCAGGCTATTGGATGAAAAGCCATCCTTTGTGCTACCATCCAAACTAACTACTTCAGAATTTACTACAAATAAAGAGGAAGTCATTGTTTCAAAAGTTCAGAAACTAAAGCAAAGTGTTCTTGATGAAACTAATGCTTTGATGAGAAAACTTGATGAGGACATTGCCCGAGTGTTAGAAATGGAGATGCAGCAGTTGGCAGACATGGACCACAATGCAGACAAGCGCAAGGCTCCTTTGGTAACTGCTGAAACCTTTGATGATTCCTCAGCAAGCACATGCACAGCCTCACCACAAGTGCTCTCCCCTCGTGATGATATATTGCCCGAGGCCAGAGAACCACAGGACACAGATGGATCATTGGATATGGAGGCAGACGCTTGTATTCAAGATTCTTTGTCATCAGAAACTTCTCAATGTTCTCATCCTTCTTCACCTTCTGAAAATCTCCAACCGGAAAAGCCTGAAAGAGATGATTCCACTCCTGAAGTATTTGTACCAGATGAACTCCACTCAATTAAAACTTCATACATACAAGTCACTGCTCTCAAAGCACTACACACCATTCTACTTAACAACAGGTTTATAGAAATGCTCCTCGTCCCAAAGTCAGACCTATTGTCCGATAGGAATAAAGCCCTACTGGACGGAACTGTAATCCGCAGAGATGAAGATTTCAAGGTCACTCTGAGGTCGTTCATGAAGAGGATGGTTCAGTTAGCTCTGAGTCAGTCGGGGTTGCTGAGGGTATTCTCTGTGCTAGAGCTAGAACGAGCACATGCCATTCTGTATAAAATACTCACTGTGTCCAAAGCTGAGGAAGTCATCTGTATTTCAGAGGTGAAAGGTGAGAATGTTGTTATACTGTCCGTTTCCACTGATTTTAAATATTTTAAGCTCATACAGCCATGACACATCATCTGTCGTCCATCGGTCATCATTAAATTTGTGTGAAATTGAAAAATCAAACTTTTCTTTTGAAGCACTGTTTTGCAGAATAGTTAAAGGGATTTTAGCTTTTAGATTTCAACTCAACATTGTATAAATGAAAGTGTGCACTCTAGGGGCAGTGTCCATTACCAGAAATATACGTAAATCTTTAAACCGGTCTCCTTTAGTAAGGGTGAAAGGTTTTTACTCAGGCTCAAGGGGTTCAACAGTAGGTGCCTCCTGTGGGGCAGAAAGATGAGGTCCAATGGGGAAAATGAAAACTGATGATTAAATTCATTCTTCTTTCTTTTCGGACAAAAGGATGAATTAATTTGGTTAAAATAAACACTGGACCAGGTAACCATTGTATGAATATAAAGGCATGGCTATCCTGTGGACAAGGGGGTCCAGTTCAGTATGAATATGTATAATGAGTTTAAAATTACAAAATGTTTGCCCTTTTCTGCTAATACATGTATTTATTGTACCTTTTTCACACACATGTACCTGATTGAAATAATGAAAGATACAGGTGAGCTATCTAGGTTCATGAGCCTCCTGCTATTATTCAACTAATTAGTTTGCTTTCATATGAATGGTTGATTTTGTGGAAATTGATGTCCAATGTTTTAATGTCCTATTTTGTATTTATGTGTTACTTTAAAGGAAATGTTTGAGGAGATCAACTCGTCGTAGCCAATGGCTGTTTGTAGTCCTCATCAAACAAATAAGAAATTATATCACTAAGTATTTCTTTTCAAGTTGACTTCACTTGCAGTATTTATTGAAAATTCTGATTTTTTTCAATACATTAGTCATTACATTAGTTACTACATTTGTATATTACATGCTAATACTGTATACTACATTTGTATATTACATGCTAATACTGTATACTACATTTGAATATTACATGCTAATACTGTATACTACATTTGAATATTACATGCTAATACTGTATACTACATTTGCATATTACATGCTAATGCTGTATACTACATTTGTATTTTACATGCTAATACTGTATACTACATTTGTATATCATATGCTAATACTGTATACTACATTTGTATATTATATGCTAATGCTGTATACTACATTTGTATATTACATGCTAGTACTGTATACTACATTTGTATATTACATGCTAATGCTGTATACTACATTTGTATATTATATGCTAATGCTGTATACTACATTTGTATATTATATGCTAATACTGTATACTACATGTGTATATTACATGCTAATACTGTATACTACATTTGAATATTACATGCTAATACTGTATACTACATTTGCATATTACATGCTAATGCTGTATACTACATTTGTATATTATATGCTAATGCTGTATACTACATTTGTATATTACATGCTAATGCTGTATACTACATTTGTATATTATATGCTAATACTGTATACTACATGTGTATATTACATGCTAATACTGTATACTACATTTGAATATTACATGCTAATACTGTATACTACATTTGCATATTACATGCTAATGCTGTATACTACATTTGTATATTATTTGCTAATACTGTATACTACATTTGTATATTATATGCTAATACTGTATACTACATGTGTATATTACATGCTAATACTGTATACTACATTTGTATATCATATGCCAATACTGTATACTACATTTGTATATTACATGCTTATACTGTATACTACATTTGTATATTACATGCTAATGCTGTATACTACATTTGTATATTACATGCTAATACCGTATACTACATTTGTATATTACATGCTAATACCGTATACTACATTTGTATATTACATGCTAATACCGTATACTACATTTGTATATTACATGCTAATACTGTATACCACATTTGTATATTACATGCTAATACTGTATACTACATTTGCATATTACATGCTAATGCTGTATACTACATTTGTATATTATATGCTAATACTGTATACTCCATTTGTATATTACATGCTAATACTGTATACTACATTTGCATATTACATGCTAATGCTGTATACTACATTTGTATATTATATGCTAATACTGTATACTCCATTTGTATATTACATGCTAATACTGTATACCACATTTGTATATTACATGCTAATACTGTATACCACATTTGTATATTACATGCTAATACTGTATACTACATTTGCATATTACATGCTAATGCTGTATACTACATTTGTATATTACATGCTAATGCTGTATACTACATTTGTATATTATATGCTAATGCTGTATACTACATTTGTATATTATTTGCTAATACTGTATACTACATTTGTATATTATATGCTAATACTGTATACTACATGTGTATATTACATGCTAATACTGTATACTACATTTGTTGACAGAAAAGTATGAAGCAGTGACAAAAGAGAGGGAGAAACATTCCAATGTCAAGAAGAAACCACAAGCACAGGAGTCGTGTGATGTCTATACAAACCAGGCCCCGTCCTCCACCCAGATACCCGTGGCAACACCAGAGGAACCTTCCACTCAGGAGGAGGACCAAGAAAACTACCAGCAGACATCCATTCTTCAATATGTCAGGCGAGGGTAATGGGAAAATGTTGATATCAACTGGAAAAATAACGAATGATTCCTACATTTTTAGCTCACTTGGTCAATACCATGGTGGGATGTCTGTCATCTGTCCCTCTGTCCATTGTCCATCCAGGGTCAACTTTTTACTTTAAGCGACTTCTTAATTTACCAAAAGGCCTAGCAATTAAAGAACTTCTTCTACCAAAAGACCTACCATGATGATATTTGGCAAGGGGCAGGCAGGGAAGAAGGGCTATCAAGTTTGTTCAAATGAATGATGTTTATATATATTTATAGTCACAGGGCGAAATAGTTTAAACAACTTCCCCCAAGAGGCCTTAAGAAACTCACTAGGCCTTCGGGCAACAAGTCAGCTAAATAAGTTGATGCCGAACAGACAGATAATGCAGACTGCCATTACCTTCGGGCAAGGGGAGCTAATAAACTCAATAGCCCTTCATACCAGCAAGGTACCAGGCAAATATCATCTCTAAATATGCGGTGATGCAGTATCGGTCATCCAGCGTCAACATTTCTTTTTAAAAGACTTCTTCTCAATTACCAAAAGGCCTAAGTTAATGGTATTTGACCAGTACGTAGCACACTGGGATGAAAGGCTTCTAAGTTTGTTCAAATGAATGACCTTGACCCATTTCATGGTCACTTGGGTCAAATACGTTAAAATATTAATCTACTTTGACAGATTTTTGGCTAGTAGCATGTTTGAATGAATATAACCTAGGCTCGCTTTTAAGGACGTCACTGGGTTCAAATATGTTTAAAATATTTCAACAACTTTTTAATCCTCCGTTAATCAGAAGGCCCAGGGTTATAATATGTAAGTAACATGCTGAAGTATAGGGCTAAAACTTGGTAAAATGAATCACCTTGACCCACTTTCATGGTCACTGTGGTCAATGTTGAAAAAATCTTCCAAATGATTTCTTCTAAATAATCAATAGGCATATGATGATGACCATTGGCAGGTAGCATGCTGTGTAACACATATTATTCTGATAAGTCCCTAAAACTAAGTTTAAATTATCCATGTGAACCTTGTAATATCACATTTGGCTGTATATCACATACATGATATGTGATAATAAGATGGAACAACAGTAACACTATACAGGTCTGTGTTTATAATTAAATTGTTTCTGTTTTTTGTACAGGTCTGATGGCCCCCACAGTTCATTTTCTCGCCACCTGTTTAGCCGCCGGGCACGAAGGGAACGCTCTCAGTCCACCACTGCGTCCCGTTATTCCATGGTCCGGGTTCCTCCTGCTGCCCCTCCCCTCAGGCCATCTCCTCCCCCTCCCCAGAGGAAACCTCCTCACCTTCCTATCAGGACGAGGTCACCGTCTCCACCACCTCCTCCCATCTCACTGTCTCTGTTAGAGATGGGCTTCACACTCAGTGCTATCAAGAGAGCACTAACAGAGACTTGTAAGATATTTTTGAATCAGTTTCATGTTTATTCTCCTTACATTTCTTATTATGAACTAAACCTGTATTAAGACATCACTTGCATTAAGAAACAACTATTTGGACTTCCCCAGGATGGTCTGTTAAGCCCATTTTTATCATTGGTGTGTTCAGACAGACTGATGCTGTGGTACCCTCTACCTTAATTTATGAATTGAAAAAATCAAATATTCAACAAATGTTTCTGCTTTTACTGTTAATAACAGGTTTTAAGTCTCTTCACAATGTGAAATCCTTTAATCCGTCACGGTAGAGAGATTGACCGTATGTAACACATAGCTACAGTTGTACATTGTATTTCATTTCTGGCAATCATTTACTTAGATTGACCATCGTTTTGAAATACTTTGAAAACATATTTACGCAGAATGTTGACGTTTAGGTGTAAACAGAAATGAGGTATCTGCCCATGGAATAAACACCCTCGCCACATGGATGTTGGAACACCCACTGGATGTCCAGGAGCCTGAGGAACATGCGACTAAAATTACCCGAGACACTATGCCAGGACGAGAGACGGACAGGAACTGTGATATTATCAGTGACTCACAGCCACCAGAAGACGACATCCGGGACCCATACAGGTACAGGATGAATAAAAGGAAAACTATAGATTTAGTTTATTTACAAGTGTCTACTTTACATATTTGTTGTTAGCCTTTATAAAGGTATCAGAACAATATACATACATACATTGGCATCAATATTTCAGTATGTTGCTGTCTAGACGTATATCTTTGGAGGGCTTATTGAATGAATCTAGTGATGACTCAAATGAGGAGCCAGACACACGCCGCTCACGCTACGTTAGAAGTCCACGACCAATTTCACGCACAAGACATGTTGACATCAGGAGTTTTCTTTCCAATACAGGTACAGATTATAAAATAGGGATGTACTGTGACTGCAGGTGCAGATAATATAAAGGCTATGTCACATCCCACCATGATCATCTCTCAGAAAACCAGTGTGAGTCATAATAATATGACCTTGGACCATGTTTCCCTCGTGCTCACAACCTCACAATGTTGGTACTACAATATCCCACTTCTATGAAACTTCATAGTTTTGAAAATTGACCCTTGATCTTTCTGTATATTTTTTCACTTGTTTATTTAGCCCCTACAGGGGCAACAAGCAGCAGGAATGCGGGGGTATTAGTTAGCCCATAAGCAACAGTTTTTCTGGCAATTAGAATATCATAATTAAGTTGGTTCTATTGTGGTGTGTATGTTTTGGTATAGTTTAAGATTAAAAGTATAAGACTAGGAGAGCGAGTAACGGCTCTTAGTCCTCTTGTGTAATATTAATTGTAAGTTCCTTTATTAACACTCTAGAAAAAAGATGGCTATTACAGATGTGCTAAACAAAACCCATTCACCTATTACAGCCAACGAACGTGAGCTAGAGCGATCAGAATCTCTACAAATGGCGGGTGAGGTTACCACACCATCAGATTTGTATGAGAGAATGTCGGAGAATCCTGGGCTGAGCGACACCTTTGATGCCCTCTGTAGCGACATTTGTAACATGACGGATGATCTGTACAATCTGGAGGATATTGACGATCTTTTCCCAACACAAGCTGAGTCTACATGGGACCTCATGAATGCAATAGTAAGTTGTCTGTGAACCTGGTATGAGGGATTGGAGTATGACTGGAGGAACTCTGGTGGTTGGCAGGGATAAGTAAATAAAAAGGCTTAACCTTTTCAACACTGTAGACCATAATGGACTCATCCAAATCTATTTTTGGTAGAGTTTATTAAAGTTTTACAGGGTGAAATGGTTAGATTAGTTAATGTCTTAACATTGAAGTAAAAGTTACCTTAACCCTTTTACCCCTATGTAACTTTAGTCGCCTCTACCATGCATTGATCTGGACGAGTCCATAATGGTCTACAGTGGTGAAAGGGTGAAGGTGCATAGTAAACACGAGTGTCAACAAAGTGTTCAGTGTTTAGTCAATGGTTTTTACTCGCCTTAAACAGGTCTGTGTGCGTCATCAAAACTTAGTATTATTGAAGAAATAAGCTTAATGCAAATCACTTTCGTCCCTCAGAAATAGTCCTTTTGCCTATATTTACAGAGAATGGAATTTGAAGCTGACCCATCAGTGGTGTGTGAGCTCTGCCAACAGGAAACAGATAACTTCCTCGGCCACCTGCAGTTTGAGCACCCAGGCTGTGGCAGTGAGTTCCTACTACCCACCTCTTTCCACAATCTAGTAGAACCTGATCATCTAAATATACACTGGATTTTGTTTTAGCATGCACTGGCTCATCTTGCAAGTCACATATTTTCTAAACATTTTCATTACTGTCTTGTGATTTCTATAGACATGATTCCTACTTTGGTCTCATCTGCTTCACCGGCTGTAATACACTGGGCAATCCAAAGGTTCAGGGGTTTGCAGTGTCATATCATTCACACTTTCTGACATCATAATAAATCAAGCATTCTAGTAAGTCAGATCTTTATGCAGAGCTAATAGGTATGAAGGAACTCTATTGATTTTAGGCATGATTTTTGGAAGGTCAAGGTCACTGTTATATAATTACTATAAATGGTATTTCCATGTCTAAATCCTAACATCAAAATGAATGATAGCATGAATGTCAAACTCAGTATGTGGATTGCTCTAACAGGAAGGACAACCTAATAGGTTTTGGCATTGGTTTTCCAAAGTCAAGGTCACGATTTTCTAAAAATAGTTATTCCTTGTCTGGATCCTATCTTCAAAACCAATTTTTATGCAATGTTTACATATTAAAGTCACCATTAAAAATAGATTTTCACAGAAAGAATAACTGCACAAAGTTCACACTTGGTGTGTGAGTCGCCCCAGAGAAGATGGGAAAAATATTAATTCAGGGAATTCCTCATCAAATGTAAAGGTAGTTCTTGCTAAAAATAAATATTTTGACCTGGTCGTGATCTTGAAACTTGATTGTGAACAAATAATTGCACAAATTTCTGATGCGATATGTATTATTAAGGGAAAGCTGTTTATTTTGGCTGAGGTTAATCAAAGGTCAAGGTTACTGTTACTAAAAATAGAATCGTCCAGAACTTTACTTTTAGGATATTTGATTTTATACTAGAACCAGTTGAATGACATTCTGATGTTGAGTGTAACGTACTAAAATTTTCTGTGGTATAAGGCACTATCTGTTGAGTGTAATGTACTAAAATTTTCTGTGGTATAAGGCACTATCTGTTGAGTGTAATGTACTAAAATTTTCTGTGGTATAAGGCACTATCTGTTGAGTGTAATGTACTAAAATTTTCTGTGGTATAAGGCACTATCTGTTGAGTGTAATGTACTAAAATTTTCTGTGGTATAAGGCACTATCTGTTGAGTGTAATGTACTAAAATTTTCTGTGGTATAAGGCACTATCTGTTGAGTGTAATGTACTAAAATTTTCTGTGGTATAAGGCACTATCTGTTGAGTGTAATGTACTAAAATTTTCTGTGGTATAAGGCACTATCTGTTGAGTGTAATGTACTAAAATTTTCTGTGGTATAAGGCACTATCTGTTGAGTGTAATGTACTAAAATTTTCTGTGGTATAAGGCACTATCTGTTGAGTGTAATGTACTAAAATTTTCTGTGGTATAAGGCACTATCTGTTGAGTGTAATGTACTAAAATTTTCTGTGGTATAAGGCACTATCTGTTGAGTGTAATGTACTAAAATTTTCTGTGGTATAAGGCACTATCTGTTGAGTGTAATGTACTAAAATTTTCTGTGGTATAAGGCACTATCTGTTGAGTGTAATGTACTAAAATTTTCTGTGGTATAAGGCACTATCTGTTGAGTGTAATGTACTAAAATTTTCTGTGGTATAAGGCACTATCTGTTGAGTGTAATGTACTAAAATTTTCTGTGGTATAAGGCACTATCTGTTGAGTGTAATGTACTAAAATTTTCTGTGGTATAAGGCACTATCTGTTGAGTGTAATGTACTAAAATTTTCTGTGGTATAAGGCACTATCTGTTGAGTGTAATGTACTAAAATTTTCTGTGGTATAAGGCACTATCTGTTGAGTGTAATGTACTAAAATTTTCTGTGGTATAAGGCACTATCTGTTGAGTGTAATGTACTAAAATTTTCTGTGGTATAAGGCACTATCTGTTGAGTGTAATGTACTAAAATTTTCTGTGGTATAAGGCACTATCTGTTGAGTGTAATGTACTAAAATTTTCTGTGGTATAAGGCACTATCTGTTGAGTGTAATGTACTAAAATTTTCTGTGGTATAAGGCACTATCTGTTGAGTGTAATGTACTAAAATTTTCTGTGGTATAAGGCACTATCTGTTGAGTGTAATGTACTAAAATTTTCTGTGGTATAAGGCACTATCTGTTGAGTGTAATGTACTAAAATTTTCTGTGGTATAAGGCACTATCTGTTGAGTGTAATGTACTAAAATTTTCTGTGGTATAAGGCACTATCTGTTGAGTGTAATGTACTAAAATTTTCTGTGGTATAAGGCACTATCTGTTGAGTGTAATGTACTAAAATTTTCTGTGGTATAAGGCACTATCTGTTGAGTGTAATGTACTAAAATTTTCTGTGGTATAAGGCACTATCTGTTGAGTGTAATGTACTAAAATTTTCTGTGGTATAAGGCACTATCTGTTGAGTGTAATGTACTAAAATTTTCTGTGGTATAAGGCACTATCTGTTGAGTGTAATGTACTAAAATTTTCTGTGGCATAAGGCACTATTTGTTGTTTAATTTGCAGGAATATCATGTAACAATGTGTACAGCAACAATGGTGTGTATGGGATGTGTCCTTGGCCCGCTGTGTGTGGGACAGGCTATCCCAGCTATGCCTTGTGTAAGGCTTGTCGCGATCAACACCGTGAGATCCATGGAAACAGGGCTAGTAACTCTGACCAGGACAGGGCAAAGGAGCAGAGAGAGGCTATAGGAGCAGGTCTTGGCAGCTCTACCCAGAAGGCTCCCGACCTCCTCAATGCTGTGGAATACACAACATTGGGTATGTTTGATCATTTGTTATATTCATTTCTACTTTTCACTTCTTTTCTACAACATTTCAAGATATCACTGATTAAAACTGTTACAATATATCGGAATCAAATTACTGAAAGTACTTAAGACACAAAACAAGAATTAGATCTCTTTCATGATAGCTCACCTGGCACAAATATACTTTAAATAACTTCTTCTGCATAACCAAGAGGTTCAGGGTGAATTCTCGGGCAAAGGGGACCCAATTTTGTAAAAACAGGATGTGGGGCAGAGGAGGAAGAACATGGCAATAATTGTTTAAAAACCTTCTTCTGTACAACTTGAGGGATTTTAACCAAAGTTTGTCATATATTCTAGCGAGGGCAATGCAATTTTGTATAAACGTCGGGTGTGGCTCCCCTTGGACATAGAGATAAATGTTCAAAATCTTTCTTCTGTATGAATGGAGGGTTTTGAACCTTATTTGGTTTAGAGTATCCTTGTGGAAAAAGGGACTTGATTTTGTACAAAATAGAGGGTGTGGCCCTATCTTATGGCAAAGGGTGCTTAATAGGGGAAATTAAGGTAATTCTTTAAAATCCTTCCTCTTCTGTATGATTTTATCCAAATGATGTAGAGCATCCTTGGCCATAGGGCATTATATTTGGTAATAGATAATTCAATATAGCAAAAAATGTTTAAAATCCTACTTCTTTTGTACGAATGAAGAGATTTTAACCAAATTTGGTCTTAAGTAATCTCGGGGAAAGAGAAATTAGTTTAGTATAAACAGAGGGGATGCCCCCTCCACTCCCAAGTTTGGTGTAGAGCATCCTTGGGCAAAAGATTCTCCATTTTGTATCATAAACTGACGTTGTGGTTCCCCAGGGGGAGGGGGCAGCAAAGAAATCGGCCCCAAGAGGAGAAATAGTTGCAAATCTTTGGAATAATCTTCCTTCTTTAAAAATGTATAGTTTTAAATCAAATTCAGATTAGACAATGCTTTGAGCGACAAGGACTCTATTTCATTTCTTAAGAGTGTGTTTCCCATGGGGGCACAGGGGCGTGGCCTGCAAAGGTAAATTGTCGTAAATCTTAAAAATCCTTTTTTGTGTCGCACAGAAGAAGGGATCTAAACCAAAATTTATATAGGGTTTCTGTGGCCCAATGGGATTCAATATTGTATAAACTATGCCCCCACTCCAATGGGGACAGAGGGATTGGTAAGGTAAGGGGTTGCTGAAAGACAGAATCAATACTTGGAAATATTTGCAGTACAATAGAGAATTTTTGACATGACTGCTTAAGTTTTTCAAAGTTCAATTTATGGAAGTTTGACTGTATATAGATATTTCAATTAGATTTACATGTAAATGCAAGACAAACAGAAAGAGTATTACAGTAATCTGGACTTCTTTAAATCTTCCTCAAACTTAAGTCTAACCCAATATTTATTGAACATGCTTTCTGACAGAACAAGAGCTACAAATGGGCTGTCGAGGAGGAACTTTTATAGATGAGACTGAAAACCTGCTCCCCAAACTAGGCATCACAGACTGGAAACCCTGCCCAGATCCCCTCAAGTTCTCTGAGATAGACCCCCTGGGATACAAGCTGGTTCAGGCTTCTGCTGCAGCCGATGCTGGTACACCTCTATGTAAGTGGAACATTGATAGCCACAAAAGGCTATTTACTAACTATTATCGTCTGTATTTCTAAACATTTTCTTCATGTTGGTAAGTATGGATTATGAAAAGTTCTTTTTTACACAACCAAAAAAAAATGTATGTGACGTTTCGATGACTAGTACGATATATACAATGTCACCTTCATCAGACAACTGACCAGTGAAGCGTATGCACACAAAGATGTAAAATGTGTACCACATAATCGATGTTGATTTTGGCTACGCTGTAAGCGTATATGTACAATAGTTGTTACATATGTACCAAAATGACTCGATCCAGCTACGCTTTGTTTAATGCTTGGTCGTAGATGTGCAAGAGTCTTTGAGCCCCTCGTCTCGATTTAGAACTGGTCCACTGCAGCTATATTGTCTGTAGTAATCGGATTTGGTATGCAAGTACATCTTGGGATGGCAAGGTGTAGAGTATGAAAAGTAGGTACCTGTGACCTATGCTTTGACATTTAACATTAACTTTCGAAAGAAGTTGGTCCAGAGCATATCTCTTACACTATTTTGTCAGGATTAAACAAATTTTGTGGGCAGGTAGGTCACTGTGTTGTACACATCTGACCTCATCTTGGTGGATTTGCTCACAGTTTCTCCAGTACCTCTCCTATAATTACCAAATAAGATAGGCAGGCATATCCTGAGATGAGCTACGGTACCAAAGAAAGTCAATATGGTATTTATTTGGACTTTTGACTACAATAATTAAAACAAAATGCTCTAATCTGTATCGAGATACTTTTTTGCCTGTAGTCCATCCTTCATTCTTCTGTCCTTCGTCCATACTAAACACATTTTGTTATCGCTATTATTCAAAAAGTACTTGATGGACCTGTCTCAAATTTCATATGAAGGTTACCCTTGATCTAAAGTTGTGCATGTTTCATTTTGAGACTGATAAAAAAAACTTTGCTCTATCAACTTCATTCCTCAACAGAATTTGTATGAAACTTGATAAAAGTGATTGGTATGGCAATATATATTTATCTTGAACAAGTTCGCGTTTCAGGTTACTGCGTTAAAAGTCAAGGTCACTTTTACTATTTTTAGAAAAAAACTAGCGACTTCATTTCCTTTCATATATGTCACACTGTGTGAATGCGAGGGGATTTGTATCACTTTAAATTGTGATGGCTTGTTCAGTTACCGAAACAGTGTCTGCTCAATATCTCGAGAAGTTTTCTACGGATTAACTTCAATCTTCTTAGGAAGGTTCACTGCCATGAAAGCTTGGACTATTTGGATAACCGCAATTATTGGACCATGATTAACAGAGTTATGGCCCTTTAATCATCTTAAATAGTTTTATCTGGATTAACTTCAAACTTCATAGGAAGGTTTAACCGTAATTATCAGACCACAATTGACAGGGTTATGACCCTTTATTTAATTACCAAAAAGTTTTCAACAGATTAACTTCAAATTTCATTGGAAGGTTTATTGCCATGACAGCTCCGACAAGTTCAATAAACACCACTGTCCAACCGTAATTTATGGAGCTATGGCCCTTCATGTACAACCATACAGAGAACTACTCATTCAATGTATGATGAGCGTAGTATGTTCCGCTATCGCGATACCCTTGTTTAAAGTCAGGAATGCATAAGTTTAACTTTTGTAAAAAGTTGAAAAACAGATTAAAAGAATCTAAGAGTAATTTGTCAACTACTATTAAGCAAAAAAAATATTTACATGAATGAGATGCTTGTGTGGTTTTAAAATAAATTCATTCTGCAAGAGAAATTAAGAGAAACAATGATGTTTTAACTTGAAAGAAAGTTTTACTTAAATAAATCAATTAGACACTTAGCTGCTTGTTTTTTTATTGTGGAAAAAAACAATATCATTGATCAGACACATCAATCAACCAGTCAAGCATGTTTAAATATGATAAAAAGGTGTACAAAGACACAAATTGCAAGAAAGCCCCAAAGTGTATCCAAAAAGAGGCGCCAACCGATTATATAATAGATAATTGGTAAGTTGCCTTCAACCGATTATTGATCATGGATTTCCAACCGATTCCGAACACTAGCTCACAGGGGTGAAATATCTAAAAATACTTCTGAATAACCTTAATGCAAAAGATGGTGATATGTGACCAGTAGCATGCTCAGATGAAGAGCTATCAAGATTGTTAATGTGAATGACCTTGACACTCTTTCAAGTTCACATCTGGTCAATTGTGTGTAAATCTTAAGTCATCTTCTCAATAAACAAAAGGTCTAGGGTAGTGATAATTGACAAGTTGCATTCTGGGATGAATGGCTATGAAGTTTGTTTAACTTAATGACTTTCAAGGTCACAGGAGTCTAATGTGTTAAAATTTTTAAGATTTTGAGATATTGATATTTTGTCTGTAGCTTTATTTTAGTCCAATTTTAAGGTGTGAGATTAATACAAGGTGATTGATACAGGTCCATTGGGCCTCTTGTTATCAATTTTGACAGTATTAGACACCATCTAGAGCACTTCAGCAAGCCTTGTATGTTACAGGGAGTCTACTTCAGGCATCTCAACCCAACAATAAGTACCGTACACTGGGGGAACAGGCCACCAACTTAAAGACCCCACGTGACAGACAGATCGCACTTCAGCGGATAACCTCCACTATGCAGGTGATGCTGGCTCGCAGTATTGTGATGAAAGCTCTCTCTGTCCTCGCCAGCAGGTAAGTGTTTAAGTATTACTCCACAATGGGTAGGTAAGTGGGGTCGATCAATTGTTTAGTAGATATCCATGTGTGAAAAAGACCTTGTTAGGTCATGACGTTCTTTACATAACACGTCCAGGTGTAACACTGAATCATGTCAAATAATCTAAAAAAGTCAAATGTAAACTTTGAAAACGGTATTTGGCTTTAAAGGGACATCACGTGAAGAGACATTTTTTTTTTAATGAATGTATGTATTGTATGCACTTCCACTTATGTTACCTCGCTATCCCGATATTCTTAGTTCGTTCCAAATGACCAGTTTGACCACTTGAATTGTTCGGGAAAGCCCTGCTAAAAATAGTGCCGATAACGTCACCTGACTAGGCAGTAAACACGAGCGGTCTGGGCGAGATGAAACGGTTTCCAAAGGGGCTCCCAGAGAGGGGCGTCAGGCAACTGCAACTTCTTACCGTACTATGAAACCAAGTAATATGATTTCTAAGTCCGTATTAAAACTTATTGAACAGTAGTTATTCATCATCAGAAGTTAATTGCACACTTGCCAATATTCAGATTTTTTTTTTTTTTTAACTTTAAACATATTTGTTGCCAATAAAATTGAACAAGGGATTGGGCAATCGTTTTTACAATTTATCACAGCCTTCTCCCGTCATACATTTACAATTAAATGTCAACAATAATAATAGGCATAAAAATAAAGTATAGATATATAAATATATATTGAATTTAGTACCGGAATGTGACATCTGTACAGGGCTAAACACCTTTCTTCAACCATGGGACAAACCTTTCTGTAAAAAGGAATATTCACGAGACGAATATCCCTTTTCAAATGTTTTCATAAAGTGCATATATGCAATGACAAATACACGCGTATGAAAAAGAGAAACGTTTGTGATTTTTTTTATTACATTGTGGTGGCGATCACGAGTACCGACAGAGACAGAAAACGTCGTGGCTATCACAACAGTTATCCCTTGGAGGGCCTCATGACAAAATCAAACTAACCAGTCACTTATCCTTTCCTTTCGCATAAACCACTGTATAATCATAGAAACACAAAGTAAACTATCTCCGATACATGCCCATTGACATATTAAACTAAGTTCATCTGTGTTCAAACTCACACAATGATACTAGCGAGGTTAATAGTTTTAGATATTTATTCATAACATAAACAGCGCTAGCACTTCTGTCGATTCCATTTCAGCTTAACCGGCTACCCGGAAGAATACATGCACCGTACTAACTGCTACGACAGTTATTTTCTCCTTTGAATACTTCCCACCTGTAATAATGATTGCGTAACGTACTCCTTGCGCTATCTTTGACCATTTGGCAACTTTTCGCTTCGTAGCTGACACGGTACGACACTTTTCTTTGGCTTACTTCACACGGCCAGTCATTTTGTTTACAAAGAAATGGTGTGCTATGCGCATGCGCTAGTAGAGGGAAATCCCTGAACAAAACGTTGGTCAGACAGGTAGAAATACTGATGATTATCTTAGATTTAATCATTTTTATGAATCTATTTCAGCCTAATCCGATCGTTATTTTCCATAAGGAGTCTCACTTGATATGTTTATGTAGTATTTGAAAAAAGACAAAAAAAATAGTCACTTCAGCGTGATGCCCCTTTAAGTCTCTTCAAAATGTTTCCAACAATTGACAAAATTAGATTTTTTTTTTAATTTGAGCATGAGAACGGTTTCATGAATACAGGCTCAGATATCCGGGGCATCAACCATTAACTCTGACCATCATTATAATTAACCTGTGAATTTTAGCTGATGTCACCTGTGGGGTTTTTTCTTTAACGAAATAAAATTGTCATTAATGAAAGTGTCATTAATCAGCTTATTCCACATTGGCCAAGTAATTAGGCCTCGTCTGTCACATTGGCCCTCGGCCTGCGGCCTTGGGCCAATATGACAGACCTTAGCCTAATAACTTGTCCAATATGGAATTAGCCCGGTAAGATTATTGGATCACCTTGTCAAACACTGCATCTGACAAAGTTAACTGTTATCTTGATTAAAGAATCAAGTGTTTAGCAGGTTTTAAATTGAAAGAACAAAAATCAAGGTGAGCTAGCTATCAAGGCCCCTGGGATTTTTTAACAAACTAACAAATAACATTTTTAGCTCACCTGGCCCCGAAGGATCAAGTGAGCTTATACCCTGGTCCGTCGTTCATCTGTCTGTCTATCCATGAACATTGAAAGCGCAACCTGTTATAGTAAAAGTACATCATATGTAGATTTGCATACAGAAAGGAAGTTGTGGTTCAACTATTTTTTCTTGAGTTATGGCCCTTTAAGCCCTACTCTAGAGTCATTGTAAGTGGAACTCCTCCCATTTGTTGTTTGTTTTTGTAACTTAGCACAATGAATGTTCATCATATTTAGATATGCATGAGGAAAGGAATTTGTAATTTGATTACTATACCTCCCTACAAACAAAATGTTGATCCCTAAATAAGATGAAGTTGGGCGGTATATCTTTGTGAGCTTGCTTACAGTTTCTCTAGTTATTTATGGGTAAAAATGTATATTTGTGCTGACTTCATTACTGAATGATTTTGCAAAACACTGAATTAATTTTTAATGCACAAACCTAGTTTGGAAAATAAATTGGATTATTTAAAGAATGTTTACACGATCTATCTACCAATAACTGATAAGGGATTATAAAAAATATGTTTATACTAGAAGCGTGGACAATCAATACATCCTCTTCAAATCTACTCCAAGGAAAAAAATAGTTAACGCAGACTATTTTTACGATTCNAAAAAACTTACAGAACTTACATAGAACGGAGCTTAAATTGAACAACTACATTTTCGTAATAGTATGGGGAAACGCACCGAGATGTCGAAACGTAATGTCGTAAGTTGATCGGCGATTCTCTGGCATAGGAATTTGGCTAAACTTTTTTTGTTAACGGTTACGTATTTATTAATACTTTTCACATAAACTCACATAACAACATATTATGTATCTTTTATTAATGTTTGACATAAATAAATTTGTTGATCGTCATTTGTCTTAGAGTTCCGTGTACCAAGGGACATAATCCAAGATGGCGATCTCCCAGAATCGTCGATCTTTTCCTGAAAAAAACTTGAAATTTTCTATACCTGTGTATTTTACGCACCCCCCACTTTGGGTATTAAATTTCTGAAAAAAAAGTGCGCAAATTACATGGGTTTTTACGGTATGCAAAATAAAATGTCGTTGAGGAAAGAATGTTTGATTGTTACAGTGACTCCTCCTGTAGTCTGCCAGCCGCTCTAGAGTACATTGGCCTGTCTGATATCATGGTGATCGTACAGCTGATGTGCTTGTGTGCATCGGGTAAGATTGCCTGTCCACAGTCCAAGACGGGAGCGGGGACACAAGAGACCACAGAAAGTTTACAGCACCTTAGCAAGGCACTGGGTTCCCTTGTCCAGGATAACCAAGTCTCCATGAAGCAGCTCCTTAGATTGTGTACACAGGTTAGAAAACTCTTTTAATAAGCTATAGAATTGTAATAAATATTTGATGTTTTTTAATTAAAAAACCCACACTTAATCAATACCAGGTTCTCAATAGATTTGATTTATATAATTTTGAGACAGAAAATTTCAATGTTTTCTTCAAAGATATTTTGGTTTATTTTCATTATGACATATTCAGTTTGTCCATATTTATTAAAAAATATTAAATTTACCAATTCTAAGTGGAAGTGGGTTGTATTCAAATGAGGACAAGGTTTGGATTCTAAGTGGGGTTCATAATACTGGGGACAAGGTTTGGGTTCTAAGTGGCGTTCATAATACTGGGGAAAAGGTTTGGGTTCTAAGTGAGGTTCATAATACTGGGGGGAAGGTTTGGGTTTTAAGTGGGGTTCATAATGATGGGGACAAGATTTGGGGTCTAAGTGGAGTTCATAATACCGGGGACAAGGTTTGGGTTATAAGTGGGTTTCATAATACTGGGGACACGGTTTTGGTTCTAAGTGGGGTTTATAATACTGGGGACAAGATTTGAGTTCTAAGTGGGGTTCATGATACTGAGGACAAGGTTTGTGCTCTAAGTGGGGTTCATAATGATGGGGACAAGATTTGGGTTCTAGGTGGGGTTCATAATACTGGGGGCAAGATTTGTGTTTTAAGTGGAGTTCATAATACTGAGGAAAAGGTTTTGGTTCTAAGTGGGGTTTATAATACTGGGGACAAGATTTGAGTTCTAAGTGGGGTTCACAATACTGGGGACAAGGTTTTGGTTATAAGTGGGGTTCGTAATACTGGGGAAAAGGTTTGGGTTATAAGTGGGTTTCATAATACTGGGGACACGGTTTTGGTTCTAAGTGGGGTTTATAATACTGGGGACAAGTTTTGGGTTCTAAGTGGGGTTGATAATACAATAAGTGGGGTTCATAATGATGGGGACAAGATTTGGGGTCTAAGTGGAGTTCATAACGCTGGGGACAAGATTTGGGTTCTAGGTGGGGTTCATAATACTTGGGACAAGGTTTTGGTTATAAGTGGGGTTCGTAATACTGGGGAAAAGGTTTGGGTTCTAAGCGGGGTTCATAATACTGGTGACAAGGTTTGGGTTATAATTGGAGTTATGCTACTGAGGACAAGGGTTGGGTTCTAAATGGGGTTCATAATACTGGTGACAAGGTTTGGGTTCTAAATGGGGTTCACAATACTGAGGACAAGGGTTGGGTTCTAAGTGGGGTTCGTAATACTGGGGACAAGGATTGGGTTATAAGTGGAGTTATGCTACTGAGGAATGCTGGGGACAAGATTTGGGGTCTAAGTGGAGTTCATAACGCTGGGGACAAGATTTGTGTTCTAAGGGGGGTTCATAAGACTGGGGACAAGGTTTGGGTTATAAGTGGGGTTCGTAATACTGGGGACAAGGATTGGGTTATAAGTGGGGTTCGTAATACTGGGGAAAAGGTTTGGGTTCTAAGTGGTGTTCATAATACTGGGGAAAAGGTTTGGGTTCTAAGTGAGGTTCATAATACTGGGGGCAAGGTTTGGGTTCTAAATGGAGTTCATAATGCTGGGGACAAGGGTGGGGTTCTAAGGGGGGTTCATAATACTGGTGACAAGGTTTGGGTTATACGTGGGGTTCATAATACTGTGGACAAGGTTTTGGTTCTAAATGGGGTTCATAATACTGTGGACAAGGTTTTGGTTCTTAGTTGGGTTCATAATACTGGTGACAAGGTTTGGGTTCTATGTGGGGTTCATAATACTGTGGACAAGGTTTTGGTTCTAAATGGGGTTCATAATGCTGTGGACAAGATTTGTGTTCTGCTGGGGACAAGGTTTGTGTTCTAAGTTGGGTTCATAATACTGGTGACAAGGTTTGGGTTATAATTGGAGTTATGCTACTGAGGACAAGGTTTTGGTTCTTAGTTGGGTTCATAATACTGGTGACAAGGTTTGGGTTATAAGTGGGGTTCGTAATACTGGGGACAAGGATTGGGTTATAAGTGGAGTTCATAATACTGGGGATAAGGTTTGGGTTCTAAGTTGGGTTCAGAATACTGGGTACAAGGTTTGGGTTCTAAGTGGCGTTCATAATCCTGGGGACAAGGTTTGGGCTCGAAGTGGGGTTCATAAGACTGGGGACAAGGTTTGCGTTCTAAGTGGGGTTCATGATACTGAGGACAAGGTTTTGGTTCTAAATGGGGTTCATAATACTGTGGACAAGGTTTTGGTTCTAAATGGGGTTCATAATACTGTGGACAAGGTTTTGGTTCTTAGTTGGGTTCATAATACTGGTGACAAGGTTTGGGTTCTAGGTGGGGTTCATAATACTTGGGACAAGGTTTTGGTTATAAGTGGGGTTCGTAATACTGGGGAAAAGGTTTGGGTTATAAGTGGGGTTCGTAATACTGGGGAAAAGGTTTGGGTTCTAAGTGAGGTTCATAATACTGGGGGCAAGATTTGTGTTTTAAGTGGAGTTCATAATACTGGGGATAAGGTTTGGGTTCTAAGTGAGGTTCATAATACTGGGGGCAAGATTTGTGTTTTAAGTGGAGTTCATAATACCGGGGACAAGGTTTGGGTTATAAGTGGGTTTCATAATACTGGGGACAAGATTTGAGTTCTAAGTGGAGTTCATAATACTGGGGATAAGGTTTGGGTTCTAAGTGAGGTTCATAATACTGGGGGCAAGGTTTGGGTTCTAAATGGGGTTCATAATGCTGTGGACAAGATTTGTGTTCTAAGGGGGGTTCATAATACTGGTGACAAGGTTTGGGTTATAATTGGAGTTATGCTACTGAGGACAAGGGTTGGGTTCTAAGTGGGGTGCATAATACTGGGGACAAGATTTGGGTTCTAGGTGGGGTTCATAATACTTGGGACAAGGTTTTGGTTATAAGTGGGGTTTATAACACTGGAGTCATGGTTTGGGTGCAAAGTGGGGTTCATAATATTGGGGACAAGGTTTGGGTTATACGTGGGGTTCATAATACTTGGGACAAGGTTTTGGTTATAAGTGGGGTTTATAATACTGGGGACAAGATTTGAGTTCTAAGTGGGGTTCACAATACTGGGGACAAGGTTTGGTTTATAAGTGGAGTTATGCTACTGAGGACAAGGGTTGGGTTCTAAGTGGGGTGCATAATACTGGGGACAAGTTTTGGGTTCTAAGTGGGGTGCATAATACTGGGGACAAGATTTGAGTTCTAAGTGGAGTTCATAGTACTGAGGACAAGGTTTGGGTTCTTAGTGGGGTTCATAATACTTGGGACAAGGTTTTGGTTATAAGTGGGGTTCATAATCCTGAGGACAAGGTTTGGGTTCGAAGTGGGGTTCATAATATTGGGGACAAGGTTTGGGTTTTAAGTGGCGTTCATAATACTGGGGACACGGTTTTGGTTCTAAGTGGGGTTTATAATACTGGGGACAAGGTTTTGGTTATAAGTGGGGTTTATAATACTGGGGACAAGATTTGGGTTCTAAGTTGGGTTCAGAATACTGGGTACAAGGTTTGGTTTCGAAGTTGGGTTCATAATACTGGTGACAAGGTTTGGGTTATAAGTAGGTATCCTAATACTGGGGACAAGGATTGGGTTATAAGTGGGGTTCATAGTACTGAGGACAAGGTTTGGGTTATAATTGGAGTTATGCTACTGAGGACAAGGGTTGGGTTCTAAGTGGGGTGCATAATACTGAGGACAAGATTTGGGTTCTAAGTGGAGTTCATAACGCTGGGGACAAGATTTGTGTTCTAAGGGGGGTTCATAATACTGGTGACAAGGTTTGGGTTATAATTGGAGTTATGCTACTGAGGACAAGGGTTGGGTTCTAAATGGGGTTCACAATACTGAGGACAAGGGTTGGGTTCTAAGTGGGGTTCGTAATACTGGGGACAAGGATTGGGTTATAAGTGGAGTTCATAATACCGGGGACAAGGTTTGGGTTTTAAGTGGCGTTCATAATACTGGGGATAAGGTTTGGGTTCTAAGTGGCGTTCATAATCCTGGGGACAAGGTTTGGGGTCGAAGTGGGGTTCATAAGACTGGGGACAAGGTTTGCGTTCTAAGTGGGGTTCACAATACTGGGGACAAGGTTTGCGTTCTAAGTGGGGTTCACAATACTGAGGACAAGGGTTGGGTTCTAAGTGGGGCTCATAATACTGGGGACAAGGTTTGGGTAATAAGTGGGGTTCATAATGCTGGGGACAAGATTTGTGTTCTAAGTGGGGTTCATAATACTGGGGACAAGGTTTTGGTTCTAAGTGGGGTTCATAATACTGGGGACAAGGTTTGGGTTCTAAGTGG